CTGACGGAATGGGAGCCTTTGCCGTATAATTGTGGATTACACGCTGAGAACGAACGCTCATGTTGCTCAGAGTTGACGTGAGCCAATATGACTGGCATGCGCTGAAATCAATGGGCTTGCTTCACTCTGGCGTTCCCGTTGCTCGGTGCTGCCTTACGATTGCCTTTAATTAAGGGAGATTATGTTTCCTCTTTGGAAAAAAAACCCAGTTAGTGCTGATGAAAGGCTCTGGATTAACAGCCTTGCTGAGCGATGGCCCTCATTCACCCGCGGGACAGGGACAGTGATGACTGCAGCACGACGAGCTTCCCCACGCTTCATGGGCAGCTGGTGGGAAGAGGGTAATTTTTTCCACATGGCAATTTAGCCTCTCTGCTGAGACTGCCAACAGAGGTGCCAACTATTACAGGGACATTTGTCTACTAAGAATTGGTCTGGGACCAGCAGCTTACCTCACACAGGCCACTGAATGGTCATCCAGGGGTAATGACTCCAGTTGATACTTGGAGGGATTGAATCTCCCAGAGAAACAAGGGGATTTAAATAGGAAGTAAGAGGTGTGATGCTCTGCCCCCAAAGCACTCCCAGTTTATATGGCCAGAATAACTTAGCTGAGACCATAGAGAAGTGTTAGAACATCCCAATCCCACTTCCTATCAGATCTCAGAACATCAAGACCATATGGAGTTCTTAGGTGACTTACATTCCCTGTGTACAGTAGGGGATATTTCACAGTAAGAGCTGTGGCTGGGGCGAGAACAGCAGAATCAGTAGGGCATGAGCAGGGTGATGGCAGAGAAAGCCCTGGAGATGGACTCTAGGATCCCAGCTCTCAGGGAGCTAGGCAGGTTGAAGCAGCTCCCAGAAAGAGAGTTTGATGGTGAAGAAACCAGGGCTTCTGCGGTGTGTGACATCACTGGAAGAGTTAACATGGCATTTTCCTTGGTCTACCTGAGAGTGCATTTTCCCCTTACTGTGATATCTGAGTTCCTTGCTCCCTCTCCTTTAGGGGCTGCTGTAGTGTCTACTAGGAAAGAACCCATTCAGGTGTCAGGGAATGATATTTTTAAAATCAGACACTGGGATGTTCCCTTTCTCTGTCAGTTTCACTGGGATTTCGTTCACCCAAATGTCTTGCAACATTATTTATTTTGAATTACTTTTATAACACGCCTGTCACTGCAGTAGAGCGACTAATCACTTGCAGATGATACTAAACTGGGAGGAGTGGTAGATACACTGGAGGGTAGGGATAGGATACAGAGGGACCTAGACAAATTGGAGGATTGGGCCAAAAGAAATCTGATGAGGTTCAACAAGGACAAGTGCAGAGTCCTGCACTTAGGATGGAAGAATCCCATGCACTGCTACAGACTAGGAACCGAGTGGCTAGGCAGCAGTTCTGCAGAAAAGGACCTAGGGGTTACAGTGGACGAGAAGCTGGATATGAGTCAATAGTGTGCCCTTGTTGCCAAGAAGGCTAACGGCATTTTGGGCTGTATAAGTAGGGGCATTGCCAGCAGATCAAGGGACGTGATCATTCCCCTCTATTCGACATTGGTGAGGCCCCATCTGGAGTACTGTGTCCAGTTTTGGGCCACACAGTACAAGAAGGATGTGGAAAAATTGGAAAGAGTCCAGCGGAGGGCAACAAAAATGATTAGGGGGCTGGAGCACATGAGGAGAGGCTGAGGGAACTGGGATTATTTAGTCTGCAGAAGAGAAGAATGAGGTGGGATTTGATAGCTGCTTTCAACTACCTGAAGGGGGGTTCCAAAGAGGATGGATCTAGACTGTTCTCAGTGGTACCAGATGACAGAACAAGGAGTAATGGTCTCAAGTTGCAGTGAGGGAGGTTTAGGTTGGATATTAGGAAAAACTTTTTCACTAGGAGGGTGGTGAAGCACTGGAATGGGTTACCTAGGGAGGTGGTGGAATCTCCTTCCTTAGAGGTTTTTAAGGTCAGGCTTGACAAAGCCCTGGCTGGGATGATTTAGTTGGGGATTGGTCTTGCTTTGAGCAGGGGGTTGGACTAGATCACCTCCTGAGGTCCCTTCCAACCCTGATATTCTATATTCTATTATTCTAATCCTGTGGTGAGGGAGCAGAAGCAGAAAACAAAACCAAACCCTCTTCCTTCAGAATAAAAAGATGAAATTAGGCAAGTGAGGTGATGCATATTAATCAAATATTTCAATTAAGGCAGTGCATATTTGCATAAAATCTTCAGATTTCTGGACCTTCAGCTTTTTCAGGTAAGCACATGAGTAGTCCTGTATGTGCTAGTGTACCTTGCTGAACTGGGACCTAAATAATTCTGCAGACGGAGGAAAACTGCCTGACTTTCAGTGGGACTGGTGAGTATGGGCTGGGATAGAAACTCGCTCTTAACAGACAATGTCATTTGGGAGGGACCTGTATGAAATGAAGTAAAGGGACTTAGCACTTAATTAGGGAAGAGGAGAACCAAGCTTGGATGTATAGTTGGTGCCTGATTTTATCTTTTAATCTGTCTTTATATTGTTTGGTTTTGTTATTAATAGCGTGGAGATTTGGGGACACAACTTGAGTTTGTGTAGTTTTCTGAGCCAAGATCTGGGCTCGGAATAACCCCACCTCACAATCATTTTTTAATGGTCTTCTCTTTGTTCTTTTCTCTGTTTGTGTTGTCCTTTCACAAGCTTGTATGTAACACTTCTTATGCTGTTCTTTTCCCAGTTGGCAAGCAGTGATTTCCCTGGCCTTTTACGGGTCTTCCTTTGAATTCGTCTAAGATTTCAGCAACAAAGTGGTGATTTTTTTTTTATCATAACTTTGGAATCCAGGACGCAGATCAACTGGCAATACTTTTAAAGGAGGTACCAATTTGGGCCTTAGCTATTTGCTATTGATCCTGTCCTGCCAGGTGCATGAAGCCTGATCCAAAGCTCTGTGAGGGTAATGAAAGATTTCCATTGCTTTCAATGGACTTTGCATCAGGCCCAACGTGGCCTCAACGTCAGTTAATATCTATGGGAAATGAGAATGGTTGGGACTTCTCTGGAGCCTCAGGGAGGAACAGATCCTAAATGAACTGCTTATGCCTCTTAGAATCACAGAAACACTTTCTATTGGTGACAATCCATTTCTCTTTCACGTTTTCAGTTTTTTCCTCTTCCTTTGTTCTTTATTATGAAGAATATTTGCACAAACCTATAAGCGCATTGTCTATAAGTCTTCGTTGGCTCATGCAGTTTATTCCCAAACTCATAATTTTTCTGGCAATTAACTGAGACATCCTAACCAGAAGATTAAGATTTCAGGTGGAGTATAAACTACAGGAAATTCAGGAACAGATAGCTTTCTTAAGAAATCAGGATCCTATATATTCATTTTCAGCTTTACTAATGAAGGAAAGGAAATGCAGAAAACATGATATAACATCACAACTGGTGAATTCTGTGACAAATTAGTATGATCTATGCGTACTAGTGCCTGATACAAGATTGAACTGTTTCTAACTGTGTCATAGGCGCTGTACTGCTAACAGCTGATGGAGATTCTTATTTAAAAGTGGCAAAGGGCCTGTGATTGGCAGCAAGAAGAACTGAGTTTTATCCCTGTGAAGTTCCAGGGCGCTCTTGTGTGCAACATATCAACAGTTGTTAAGTTCTAAGTGGCCCTGGATTTGTTACTACCTTCAAAGTGTGAGGAGGCTGGCTGGTTTAGGAGACTGGTAGTGGAATATGGAGCTTTTCACTTCTACAACATTTCAAAGAAGTCTTGGAATTTTGCACCATCTATAGAATTTACACTGGGATTCAGTTAAGATGTATGGTGGTACTGACTAAATATAATTACCTTCTGATGCTTTTATTTGGCCAGTGCAAATTTAATTGGTGGTCTCACTCCAGTCCCTAGTGGTCAGATGTCTACAACAAAAAACCAATCCTACGCACAAGTTCACAGTTGGCACAAAGTTGTGTAATGCTGGTGGTTTCAGCACAGAGATGAAAGGGTGAATTGGCCTCGAGACTGAATTCCTTTCTCCTACATTGAGGTGGACTTTCCATGTTGATCTATTAGAAAAGGGGAGGTGGGGAAAGCGTGCAATGCCACAGCCCATGCTGTACGTCCTCCATGGCCCGTTTCATCTGACCCTTTCTTAGTATTACTGCATAGTCACTCTCGTCTCCTTGTCCCAACTGGGAGAAACGCATGATGTAAACAAAGAGCCGAAATAGTGGTGTGTAAATAGAATTTTAAAATTTCCTTCACTTTTAGTAATCTGAGCTAGTGCTAGTAACATAAGTGAAGAAATGTGTGTGGCTACAACATGTGATTTTTTTAAAGTTGGCAGTGGCACTTTAAAAGTGGGGTGGAGTATGAATTGTTTCTACTCTACTTTTCCAACGTGCATTTCCAAGAAGCCTTGAAATTTTGCACCAGCTACAGAGTTTACGCGGAGATTTATTTAGGGACAAAATCAGTGGGGTGGGAAAGTTTCTCTTTTTTGTTTTTCCTCCCTTCCCCCTGCCTTTTATTTTCATTTTTGTCTTACTTGTTAATCACCTAAAGTTATTTAAAAACGTCCTTAAAGCTGGGAATCAGGGTTGCCTGGAATGTCTCCTGCCAGCTGCAAAAATGCTTTGCTTACTGCTTCAAGCTGGCCAATAGCCCTTCCCACTCAGCATCCCCTGTGCTCACTCCAAGCCCCAACCCCTCTGTGCAGGTAGCATCACCTCCATGGGGCACCCCGCAGCCTCACTCCCTGGCGCCACCTGGTGCCAGTTCCCCCGCTCTGCGCACAAACCACGTGTACCCCCTCCTCCCCTTACAACCTAGCTATTTACTCCAGGGTTCGAAGCGGGGCGGCCAATGGGAGAGCAGGAGGTGTCGCTCTAGGCGGCTGAGCTCCAATCACCACCTGGGACAGCACAGGGGAGGCGGGGCCGGACTTTCACCACGTTGGGTTTGTCCGCAGCGCTGATTAATTTTTCCAAAGGCTGGGAGGGCTTCACTCCAGCCCGGGATCTTGCTGCTGCCGCCGCCACCGGCCCTTCGCCTCCTCCTCTTCTGCACTGCACAGACCGGTCGCTGGGGCCCCTCCACTGCAATAAAATGTTTGACGGCTCCCTCCTGCCTCTCTTATTTCCTTTCCTGCTGCTCTGGGGACTGGACCCCGCCACAGGTAGCGCTTTTCTCCCCCCCCCCTCCTTCCTGACCCCGGCATCCCAGTCTCCCTTCGGCTCTGACAGCCCCGGCGGCAGCGGGGACCCGAGCAGGCGCCCTGCTGGGTTTGCAATTGCAGAAGCGCAGGGGCGGGCAAGTTTTAATTGTTGCCTGCCTGCGTCTGCAGCCCTCGGGGCATGCACCAGATCGGCTGCAGGGCTGAGGTCTCGGCTTGCAGGGGACGTTGCTCCAGGCGTTTGTCTTTCCTTGTCCTGCCCTGCCGCTGTCACGGACTGGCCTGGGTTACAGCTTTAACTTGCTCTGCCCCCCCCCCCCCCTTGGCCGGTTTGTATGGGGGTGGGTGAAATGCGATGCTCGTGGCTCGGTTTGATTTATAGCTATAGTAATGATACAAGGAGCGTTTTTAGCCTTTTTTGCTGTGTTTTCCCCGCCCGCTCCTCTGCCCTGCACACTGGGGCCTTTGGGAGATGCATTTACTCCGGTAGATAAACATATTTTCCTCCTCTTGGCTCCCCCGGCTGCAGCCTGCTGAGAAGTTCCAGGGCATTCAGCCTTGAGGCTGAACCCCCGAGGGCAGGGACCCGGCTGCGTGGAGCAGGGCGCTGGGGGCCTGGGGGCTTTAGATCTGGAGGCAGGGGCAGGAAAGCGGTTTCTCTGTTGTAAAAAGTCCCGCTTATCTTTTCCCGACCCCCCCAGGTCTCCCAGGGGCTGGGGAGTTAACGCCTGAGCCTGGGGGGGCAGCAGGGCCGAGGGGGACTGGCCCCCGCTCTGTCTGCGGCTCGGAGGGGGCAGTGTTCCCCGGGGACGGGATGCCTCGCAGTGGCCCGGCGGGGAGGGGTGTTGGCGGGGTGCCCCCCCGGGCTACCCCCGGGGACGCTGACCCTAGCCGGGACGCGAGTGACCCAGCCCCTCTGCTTCTCCCCCCGCAGCCGGCGGCGCGGAGCTGGAAGTGGCCATCCCGCAGCGAGTGGCGCTGGAGAAGATCCACCTGCTGCAGCCGGCCGGGGCCGGGCACGGGCACGGGAGCAGCCCCCGGCGCCGGCGCTCGCCGCCCGAGGAGGAGGCCGTGCTGCTCCGCCTGCCGGCCTCCGGCCGCGAGCTCTACCTGCACCTCCGGCGGGACCTGCACTTCCTCGCGCGGGGCTTCGCGGTGGAGGAGCCGGGAGAGGCCCGGGCCCGCAGCCGCCCCCCGGCCGAGCAGCTCTGCTTCTACACGGGACACGTGCTGAACCGCAGCGACTCCTTCGCCTCCCTCAGCACCTGCGCCGGGCTGGTACTGCACTTCCCGGGGGGGCTGGCCCTAGAGACCCCCCTGCAGCCCGCCCCGCCTGGGGGAGCCCTGTCGGGGCGGGACTGGCC